CGCGCTTTAAATCTCATGTGTTTTATACTACTCGTACCAAGCTCTGAAAATGTGCACACTATTCTGCCGAAGCAAGAAAAACCAGCATGCAAATTATCTTTAGCTATAGAGTAATATTTTCATATTTTTTGCGGGTATTTTGGGAGTTGATAAACTATGTCACGGTCGTATTTACTCAGCGAAACACACACGTACCATTTCTATTTCAGTCCATTTTCTCTGAAAAATCATATTTTCAACTGGAAATCCACGTCTTAAATAGTACTTCTAGCTGCCCTCGTCTGTATCCACCCACACTCATTCCGCTATCTTTGAAAAACTGACTTCTTCCAAGGTTGCATGCCCGCCGGTTGTCTTTTGACTTTTTATATTTTTGTCCTACCCTCCCCCTTGCTTGGTAGACTACCCATGCACACATAGATTTACTTCGCGTCTGACGGTACTTCGGGAATCGGGAATTATAATGTTGTCTTCAACTAAGGTTACATTTAGTATCGTGAAAATTCAAAGTTTAGTATCTTGAGAGCCAATGAACTTGAGAGGGGTGGTTCTATATTTCATTGTATTTCTCTAAAATATGTTAATCAGACATTTGATATAGGTAGTATCGCCGTTTGGGGTGTATTTCAATGTTCAATTATATTCCCATTGGATTATAGACAATAACAGTACATAGAAACATAGTGAATACTTGTGATCATTAATATGCATGTGAAATTTCCATTTTGAACATTCATTTGATTGGTCCAAACTGTCACGGTGACATTGCACTCAAATGGCAATTGTCGTCGCCCCGCGCATGTTCGACATTTGCATTGATAAACATCGATTTTCCCACAGTTCATTGCGCAATCTAATATACGAGTTTTGACCTTGGCGCGACATGCATTAATTACAGCCGGTGACTTCTTCAATGCCTTACAATCGCCAATGGTTAAAGCATTGTGACGTATCGGATTGTATTCGTTGGTCCGTGCCATATACCTCGCGCATGCGTGGTGTGACGACCATCGCCTTTCAATTAACAGCGGATATATGTTTCATGTATGTTTGTTTCCAGATGAATAACACATTCGCAACGTTTGGTCTTACTGGCGTCATTTTGACAGCAATCAGGTTTGTTCGTTTAATTATTTTTTTTGAACCAAATATCGGTGAGACCCGTTTGTTAATGTGAGGTTATACTCCCGGCGCAACAGAATCATTCCCGTGTTTTTGACAAATATTCATGAATTTCGCAATTCAAACTGAAACGAGAAGCTGATATTGGCCGATTGAATAACATTTCGAACGTTCCTAATGACGTCGTTGCACACTTTGCTCTTTGATAGGCTTGTTGAACTCAACTGCCATCGAAATTTATAAATATTGAAAAACTACAATTTATTCATTCTAGTAATGGAAGTATTATTTGCAAAACGGATCTTACGTTCGGAGGAAACTCAAGCATCCAAACCGCGAATGTGCAACAAACATTGAATGACGTCATAGCAAACCCATCGTCTGATCCATTCGCTTCCGAGGGATTAGTTGTTGACTCAAATTCAATATCAGTTAAAGATTTAGGTAAGTTGACGAAGCTATTTACAATAATAATCACTAAATCATTTGAATTCCGTTCTTTATATACAATTACGCTTTAATTATTTTTGTGAAAAAAATTAGTGTTCTTTGAATGAACAAGCTTTGTGATACTTAATGCTAGAAAACACTTTCCTTGCAGACGTTGGCTGCGATAAGCTGTATTCTCTATCAGCTGGCCAGTATGTCACGATTGACACAACTTTAAGACCACCACCAAGCAAGGGTGACCCCATATGTAACATTACCGTTGTTACAGAGCTGAATCACCAATTACTATGTAAAGTCGAATGGTTTAACATGGCCGACGCCGTCTGGTTTTATGATTCTACGGGATTGTCATTTCCGGCTATCGGCATGCTTGACTCTTTCACCGTGACTACGTCTTTTCATTTTGGATCGCTTACATACGATAGCGGTTTATTAAACACTGGTTCGAATGGATTCCGTATTGTATGTTATGATATTGATGGTAAGCCAAGTCGTATTAATGTTTACTTTGTTTCAATGAAGAATATATGTTGGGTTAATTGTTTCTGTAACTATATATCACGTGGTAAATAAATAATTATCATCAATAGTTCAAATTTTCAATAGCTTTTCCTAAAATCCCACCAAACTCGAGCGTTTTATTTCGTAGCCTTGAGGTTTAAACAATTGTTAATACTGATAACGTAATTATTAAAGGGCGGCAGTCGTCACGCCGCGTCCTGTTCAATATGGGACTCATAGCGACGTATACAACGCGTGTAAAATACATTGTTTATGTACATAAAATTCGAACACGTGCTGCCCGACGACCACCGCGCTTTAAGGTTGTTGACAATATCTATCTCGCACATTAAATGAGCTAAACAAGTCATCAGTTCCCAGTTTTTCAATGCTTTTTCCACAACTTACATCACATGAGCTATACTAGTCTTTCTTACTTTCCAGGTCGTAACATTGCAATGACTGCAGGCTCATCTGGAGTGTTCGCTGTTCACCTGAATACTGCGGTACCGATACTGGAGCAGGTTGTTTTCACTAATTCCTCGGTGCTGACAGCAGTTGCTTATCATGACGATGTTGTGTATTGGTCTAACCCGGATCTGCAGGTTATAGGGAAAACCTATTACGGATCTTCTGTAAATGAAGTAGTGTTTGACAATCACCTTGAGCGTAAGAACTCTAGTACTGTTTCATATATGTTTTCTATAATTAGAACCTTCTAGCAAGGAGCAATAACGTGTAGACAAAGTGGCATAGAAGGGTGTAAACACATTGTCTGTTTGGCCGTTCACTTGTTCGTCATCTAAAACATAGCACATATCTAAAACAGTACGACCATCGCTCTTTAATCTATATAACCTAATATAAACTGTTCTGTTCACAGATGTTATTTCAATACGAATAGACACCATTACAGGTCTACTTTATTGGATAGACGCTTCAAAACACACCTTGGAAGTGGCCTCTATACACAATCTACAGGGAACTAGGACAATATTATATGTATACGACGAATATGAGGGCTTGTCTGACATTGCATTGGACCCTGTTAATGGGTAATTACAAATACCAATTGTTATTGTGAAATATGTATTCGCATAATCATTTATTATTATACATCTGTCACCATATTAAGAAATGCGAATTCCAAATATGGAATGATGACGCGCGTCCTCTAATAATAAAAACCAACATGGCTGCCATCAGAGTTTGACCGGATTCCACACAAAGAAGTTTGCTGATTCTGTTCTAAACATTTTGGATTTCGGCTTTCCCTAGATGTATCCTTGGAAGGAAAAGATGTATAATAATAAGGTTATTACGCATTGAACAGAACCACCAAGATAATCCCTGTAGGCTACAGTGTTAACGTTTGTCTGCATGTGTAGCTGACAAGCAATCGATAACACATAATGTCACATGTCTAACAGTATATATTATGTTATCAAAGTGTATTTAATTGTTACTTTATTTCAGGTATGCATATGTAGCAGGCATGCAGTCGATATACAAATCACACATGGACGGACAAAATATGCAAGTTATTTTGCAGGATAACTCCATGTACAATCTTGCTATAACTGTGGACCTTCAGCGTGAGTTTTTTGAAAATTGTTTTTTGGACCAATTGCTCTCTATCTGTCCAATTGGTAATATAAAACTATTTACCATTTCCCTTTACATATTATAATCGCGTGGGTACCTAAGTGCACTATTCCCCTTATTAATATCTTTACATACCATAATAGTTGGATGGGTTGACGTTCAACTTGAAGTGCACCTCTCCCCTTTATTAACTTTGTATATCAAAAAATCGTTTTGATTGGCTGATGCTCAAACTGAATTCCACCACTCACCTTATTGCCAGTCTATATCATAATCGTTTGGCTTACGTTAAACCTAAGGCACCATTCCCGGCATAAAATGTTAATCGTTCATACACATTTTTTTTTCAGTATCTCGTGTGTATTGGTATGATCCGTCCAGGGGCTACTTGGAATCTTGTGATATGAATGGCGGCAATAGGACACTGGAGGCACGTGTACAGTCCCTTCCTGGAACAATGCCTATAGCAATGGGTTGACTTTGGATGCAGATTATTTTTACCTTACAGACATGTATCTTAACAGGATCGTCCGAATAGAAAGAAATGGTCACGGCACGTTGGATATTCTGCAGACAGGCATTCCGTTTCCAAGCAAGATTTCAGTCTATAATGCTGATACGATATCGCAAGGTATGTAATGTAGTTTTAATAATGCAATGTTCTTGTAATCGACCTGTCGTTTAGTCAAGGGGTGTTATCGATTAGGGCGGTGTCAACAATACGGTAGTAATTCTGAAGCTGGAAAATTATGTTTTGGCTTAGTGTCATCGATCAAATACTATAATAAGTGTTCCCGCGAAACCTGGCTTGGGTAAAATCAAAGTCAAAACATCACTTATTTTCTGGAAAAAAATGACTTTATTACTGAACAAGCCACACTTCAGTCAGGGGAAATTTGTGTGCATCTTATGTGTTGTGTTCAGAGGGCATAATTCAAAAGAACAAAGTCTTTTTTTCGATGTCATACTTTTGTGTGTCACTTGAAGAGTAATTTTTTTTTTAGTTTTCGCGGAAATTTTCTCTGCCAAATTCAGAGCGCATATACGTATTCGGAGTCTTCGACCAGACACGTGACTCCGGTTACTAAGAACACCACAATAATTGCAAATATAAGTAATTGCATTAATAAATAAATAATTTGGGAAACATGTAAATAATACAGTGTTCCCGCTTACGAGTTCTAGAAGCGCGCTAACTTAGGTCGATCTTGAAATTAAAGAAATAGAATGTGAATGCGTTATCTAGAAAGATGTGGCTAGTTAAAACAATTCACAAGAATCTTGTTTTGTTCGGCGAATGCAAGTTGGCGAACCTTGCTATTGACCGGCGTTGGCACGGTATTGAGCGATCACAAAGCCAAGGGTGAAAATGTTGGCATAATATCTGTCGCATACGACTTATTTACCACTTCCGTGTCACTGAGAATGTTCTAGAACCGTACTGTGTCTGGGTGGAATATTCTATATTATTTTAGAAACTGGTTGAATAGGTAATAGAGCACTGTAGGAGGCAATGGAAGGTAATGGAACATTCTAGAAATTTGTAGTAAGTTCAAGACTCATTATGTATGCTGATGTAATGGTCTATTTATAGACAGTGCGGGTATATATAGGGGAGCTGTTCAGCACTGAGATCAGATCGGAGATCTCGTTGAATTGTATTGGAGTTTAAGTATCTAGTTATTGGAGTAGTGGAGTTTTACCGCGTTATTCTACTTGATGTTTGCAGAGTATAATAATACCAGTACCAGTTGAAACCTCATCTGTTGGCTCCGTATTCGTATTTTATCATCGCCGCCAGGGAAGTCTTTTTGTTACTGTTGCCATTTTGGTATTTGAACCATCACACATGTACTATACCAATTACGGTAATATTACGTTGCGTGTGACAATATCAATACCAATAAAATGCCGTATCGCAGTCCAGTTCAAACGCCAATGATTTATCGGAGCGGAACATCGTAAATTGAGGATCGAGGCCAGTGTGTTCAGACGGATAAATTTGCTGGCTCGAGCCGAACAGGCCCATCAATTCATATGATAGGTTATTGGGTCAGTTTTACTATTTGTTGTCATCGTATGTACATGTGCTGACCGTGGTGATGTGAATATCTTCATAGCGTATGATATCCAGGTTTATCACGACAATCATGTGTCATCATGTTTTGTCTACATAAAACACGAGTTGCCGAGATCGTAGCTAGTTTTCTTTTTTACATTGGAGGGGGGAGGGGGTCAAGTAGGATTCTGAGGTAAGGTGAACAATTTTAGAATTTAAAAAAACAAATCTCCACAGTTCGAGGGAAAGGCTTGCTCTCTTAGTATCCCGCTTGCAAACCTGTTTTTATTATTTACCATTAAATTCCACTCACATGAACATTAACAATCAGCCGCATAGTGAAATGTATTCTACACGCTTGATTAAAGTGGACTGCCGTGGCAATTTTATTATTCTTTTTTCCCCTTAAATCTTGTTTGACGCGAGAGATTCTGCAAACTTAAACTTCCAAACACTAAAATTTCCCAAACTGGGCGAGTCTAAAAAACCATTTCCGTTTTGATATATGAAACAGTAAAATCATTTAGAGTCTGTACTACTTTATTTGAGCCAACACACGTCATATTTTGTAATAATTTTAACGTAATTATGTATGATATATATCTGTTATTTTTTCGCTAGGAACCAACGACTGTGTCATGATACTAAACGGAGGATGTCCTGATGATAAATTATGTGTGCCTGTCCCAAATGGAATCTCATGTGTTAATATCACTGGCGACGAGTTACCGAGTACGTATCGTTTAAGAAGCACCAATTTCAACTTTTCCAAATAAACCTTCGTATTTTGTTTATATTTGTTCAAAAATGTGGATAAAATCTTTTAGCAAATGAATCTTATGCAAATTGTGTCTAAAATTAACGTAATTCAGGAAAATAACAGAAAATAAATGCAAAATGTTACAACAAAATGTGTACGAGGGAAACGATGGCTTTCAAGAAGTCCAACAGTTTCACCAATATATAAACAGCTTTATAAACACTTTTTGAAAAGATTATTTATTATTACATGATAAACTTGAAATAATAAATCTGGTATATCACATAAATTATTTAAGTTTTAATAGTTACTACTCTCATGTTCACACTATTGTCCGTCTGCTTGGACAACATCCTCGTAAGTCACACAAAATGTTGATAAAAACAATGCAGTTATTGTTCCTTCCCAACACACATTCTCTTTGTCAATTGGATATTACAAATTACCATTGAAGTTATTTTTGAGTCCTCTATTGATATTATAAGCAGAAGATCGAGTTTAAACTGAAAATGGCGAATTACTTGATCAAATACTTGCACACATGGCAAAAATGAAAAATTATTGTGGGCTATGCTTTCTAACTAAACTGATTTTGTTATGTATGTATTTATTTAGCTTGTGGGGGAGACATAGTCGTATATGATGGCAGCTCTGTCACACTGACCTCACCAAACTACCCTAACAATTATAACAACGAAGACGACTGTGAGTGGATTGTGAAGGCATATCCAGGTGGCTACATTCACGTGCGGTCCACACATTTCAATACGGAAGAGTGTTGTGATTTTCTCCACATCGGCTATGGGGACCACGAAGCTGTCACCCAATCTGGTTTCCAGTATCAGTACGTTGAATGGACATCGCCTGTGTCTACCATATGGATTAGATGGAACTCAGATTCTTCTGTCACTGGAGACGGATGGGCGCTGGTGCTCACGCATACATATAGTACGTAGGAGTTTAATAGTTGGAATTAATTTTCACTGAAAAAGATTTTTTGGCTGTTTTGTATGGAATTTATTTTCACTGATTTTTGATGAGTTGAATTTAACAAATAGGACAAAGGATATATTTGATGGAATTTATTTTCACTGAACCATTCCTTCAGCGAAAATAAAAGTATTTCACAGTAACTTACTAATGGTAGACATTATAAAAATATGTGTCCCACTTATACCGACACAACTCATTATTTCACAACAAAAACTTTTAGCGTGTTGGTTGAGATTGTTGTGTCACTGAGTTCGATGACGTAACAGTTGAGATTACTGTGTCATTATGTGTTAGATGACGTAATTGTTGAGATTGCTGTGTCATTATGTGTTAGATGACATAATTATTATTTGTTTTCATTGTGTTAGTTGACATAATCGTTGACATCCCGACATTATGTGTTTGATAATCTAATCTTGAGATTGTTGTGTTGGGTGACGTAATCATTGAAATTATTGTGTCATGTGTTAGGTGACGTAATTCTCAGTTTGTTATACATGTATTATGTTTTGAATGGCGCAATCTCGTATAAATCTTTGTGTCATGTGTTGGAGCTCATTACAGAGTAATGTCTACCAGATATATGCGTAATATAACTTTGCATGTAATTTTAATTATTACGTAAATTAGTAAATGATGACAATTTTCATAGTTTCATTGCTTCAATTTATGCAAATAGCTACTGAAATTCCTGTCCGACCCCACTAAATTCAGTCATTTACTATCGTTGCAGGTTCACCCTCAGCATCACCATATCCGTGTCCAGAAGGATACGCGCCTTGCTGGAATAATGCTGAATGTTATCCATCATATGAACAATGCAATGACAATTGCTACTGTTCGGATTGTAGTGATGAGAATAATTGTAAGTTAGTAATTCATAAACATAAAAACTGAATTATTAATATTTGCACTGTCTGTGAATAACAATGCACACTTTCAGTCTGACAATACAAAACCGAGTATAAACAATGAACTCCCTACGCGCAACAATATGCTCTCCAAGAGTATAACACAGCACATCTTTGTAAGGGCAATATTACGATTTATTGCCTGCCCAAGGGATGGTGGTCATGACCAACAGCCCGTGGGAGGCAACAAATCATGATACTACCGAATCACCATGTGTTATTTATATTATCACATATAACAAATATCTACCATGCACACCCGCTCACCCACAAAATAACAACACTTACATTGGAAGTATGCAATATTTTATTTCATGCATTATAACAAGTTTCACATTACTTAATAGTATACATACATTGTTTGCTGAAAAAAATTGCGAAATACGCTTTTTTCAGTAACCGTGTTTCAGCAGTGTGAATCACGCAATTTACCGTGTATAGCATTTTTGAAATGGATTGAGCCGGGGATTGAGAAATTCTCAAACGCAAGTTATTTCACCACTCGCCAGATAAAAATGTGCCGTGGAAGTGACTGCAATGACTTTTTCACGAACGTACAACACCTTCTATTCATAAGTCACTCAGCTTAGAGTGTTCTCGATGAGCATCGGCGTGACACGCGTGGAAATGCTCACAGCGTAGAATGTGCCGCAACGATCTCGATTGTGACGTTTCAGTGGCCGATTCGCCGTAAATTTTTGCTTCATATAACAATCCCTGAGCATCAAAACGGAGTATCGTACTTAATATCCATTCTGGCACGTTCGCTGGCTATTTCGAATGGCTAAAGCTCCTTTAAAAATCTTGAAAGCAAACCCGAAGCTGTCACCCAATCTAGTTCCAAGTATCAGTACGTTGAATGGACATCGTCTGTATCTACCGTATGGATTAGATGGAACTCAGATTCGTCTGTGACGAGAGACGGATGGGCGCTGGTGCTCACGCATACATGTAGTACGTACTACATGTTTAATAGCCTATGCAGTTGCATAGATGCAGTTGGTAAACAGATGCAGTTTACCTGACAGGTATTTTAATTAGTTAATTAGGAAACCAAGATGACCTCCCTTGTCCACAAAACTATATATTTTCGGAAAGCTTATTATATGAATTTTAAAGTTTTGTTAGTATTTTATTTTTATGGACACTGTAGTTTGAAATATGCACAAAAATGTGCTTTTTGGGACACAAGTGATTTAAAAAAAATAGCTGCTAAACCATGCTTCTGTTTCCTGTCAAAATTGGTTTATGGGTACATCTGTTCACTATGAAGAAAGCGCCGTCTTGAAAACTGTCTACCAGTTGTCAATTTTGTAGGGGAGCAGCTCAAATTTCACTACTTCAAGTTTATGCATAAATTAACACCCAGGCTAGTTGTCTGTACGATTGCTGTAACACTATTCAACTAAAACAATGCCCCGACGGCGTTTTGAAGATAAACACATTGTCAATCATTTGTGAAAATTTCAAAACAAAAGGTCTAGAAGCTATTTTTTTTAAAGTTCTGGAATGTGCACTAAAAAGAAGCTGAGATAATTGCTAATTTGCATAACAATTCACTCAGTAAGAAGTTTGCTGATGCTCATACTAGTAAATAAAATGGCTGTTACAGTGTCAAATTTAAATGTATTATCGTTTTGTAAAAAGTTAAATACAGTGCATAATATGGAGATCCCGTCATTTCTTTTTTTCACCATGTTTTTTTTTATATTATTTATGTACAGCCTTGCTAAATCTTGCTAAGCATTCAAAAGAGATAATTTTGCACCTGTTATCTATATTTTAAAATAGTTTTTTGCGTATGTTCCAGTATTCACAATTCTACACAATTTCAACAGTCTATAGCCAAGACATTTTTGGAAAATAAAAAGCAAAAAAAAAATTTTTCACTCCAAAGTGCCCACGAACCTGCATCTCCACCTTAATAGCTTTAACAAATTTTCACTGAAAAAGATATATTGGCTGTTTTGTATGGAATTTATTTTCACTGAGTTTTGATGAGTTGAATTTAAAATTTTATTATTATTATTTCACAACTAAAACGTTCAGCGTGTTGGTCGGGGATGTTGTATTGTTTTGTGTTAGATGACTTAATTATTTAAATTGTTTTGTTTTTGCATTGTGTTAGTTGGCATAATCGCTGAATCCTGTCACAATGTGTTGGATGACGTAATCGTTAAAATGATTGTGTCATGTGTTAGATGACGTAAATCTAAAGCTCGTTATATTATTAATGCATGTAATGTTAATTATTACGTAAATTAGAAAATTATGACAATTTTGATTCAATTCATGCAAATAGCTAATGAAAACCTTGTCCGACCCCACTAAATTCAGTCATTTACTGTCGTTGCAGGTTCACCCTCTGCATCACCATATCCGTGTCCAGAAGGATATATGTCTTGTTGGTATACCGATGAATGTTACCCATCATATGAACATTGCAATAACAATTGCTACTGTTCGGATTGTAGTGATGAGAATAATTGTAAGTTAGCGATTCGTAAATATATACTAGTAAACTGAATTATTAATATTTGCACTGTCTGTAAATAACAATGCACACTTTCAGTCTGACAATACCAAACCGAGCATAACAATGAACTTCCTGCGTGCAACAATATGCTCTCCAGGATTATAACATAGTAGGCAATATATACAACATGGAATATGTAAATAATAACACATGTTTGTGAGGGTAATATTCGGCTCTGGCGTTATAAATATTGCGCCATCCCTTTGGCAATCAACAAATCGTGATATTGCCCGAATGACCATGTGTTATTTAATTTATCACATC